AATTTACATTGCTGGAATTCTTACAATATGATGATCATTTTGAATATAAACATCATGGATTTTGCATTAGACATACAAATTTTAGATCTAATGTAATAATTTGGTTTACACAAAGCAAATATTTTATCTTTTGTGCAAAATATATGAAGTTTACATTCAAAATATTCCCTGACCTGCAAGGAATCCAGAAATGTCAATTATATTATCCTAACTTTAGTCTGAGGTATTATTTATTACTAAATGTTAAAATCTAGAGTTTTCACCCAAACATTTATCAGAGAGGTAGGAGCTAGTGAGCTGGGAAGAGGGGGGGGGGGGATTTGAGTCCATTATTTGAATGGACATTAACCTGGCGACTGTATTTCTCTTAAATATTAATTGTGTGAGCATACCATCATAAAATTTAGATGTTATTTTTACTACAACATAGGTATTGTGTCCGAAAAAGTGGAGTTTGGGGGTCGGGCCAGTCTGTATTGGAATTAATCCCATATGTTCTGTTGTTCACTTTACGCGGTACCCTGTGGGTTCAATTGACCCCGTAAATCAGGGTACTACTGTATGCTTTGCATAGAGCATTTGTTCTAATGCCTTGTTCATGTTTTTTTATAATTTCCTACTTGGTTTGGATTGAAATAGCTTTTCTTGATCTCTTAGGCCCCATGCTGGATTCAAACAATGTCAACACGTGTTTTTTAAAGTTAAACTAGCTGTAAATAGAGAACATTTTCTTTAAAATAACACTGCACTGTGCTATATATTGTCAATATGTAAAATAAATTTCAAAATGACCAATAATTTGCTTGGAAACAGAAGAAAAGCGTTTAGTTGAAGAGAGTCTCAAGCAAGATGTTACCTCCACTGAAAACAGAGAGAGAGACTAACCGTGTTTGCTGTGTTAAGAGGCTGGATGGCGCGCATAAAACTAGTCACTTTACCTTTAATTATGTTCAATAATTGTTAAAATGACCAAAAAATTTAATAATAAACTTTTAAAATTATTGAACAGTATAAACTTCTTGATATTTACTAAAATAGTAAGAAATTTAAGCCCTAGAACCGATTACTGTATTGGCGGACTAATACTACAGCTGGTTGACCGCCAAGTGCAAGCAAAAACTTGTTGAGGTCGGCTCGTAAGAAGCTCGTTAACCGAGGGATTGCTCGTTAACCGAAGTTAAGAATCTTATGGGATGCAACTCGTTAACAGAGGGATCACTGTACAGTACAAGTAACTCTTCATCCACTCCAGAAGTTAAGTCACCAACCCCAATAAAGCATAAAACCCCATCACCAATTTCATATGAAGAGGCAGACAGTCTTTCCCCAAGCCTCTGGACTTCTACACTCAAAATCTCAACTCTGATTTCTGGTGACAATTAATTTACTTTTTTTTTTACTGTTTTAATGTACTATATTTATGGTGAGTAAAGCAATAATTTGATTATACAGCTCCTCCCCGACTTACAACAGGGTTAGGGACCCAAATCCAGGTCGTAAGTCGAAAATGCTTAAATAATACATAGAAAATCTAAAATGGGTGTCTCTTTTTCTTCTCAGCACCACAAAACTCTCACTTTTAAGCTTGCCAGCCATTTTAAAGTGAATTACAAACGAAAATTTTGTCAGTACACAGCGCAATCACTGAAGTTGGGACTCGAAAATATGTAATTTGACAAAATTTTGGTACGATCGAGGCGGTCGTATGTCCGGGTGGTCGCAAGTCGATTCAATGATGTTCTGTACTGAGTTATTATGTCTTTTGTATTTAGGTTGGTGAGTTTGCATTGCAGAAGGTGTTTGAAAATCAGCCTGAGGAATGCATCTTCCATACTGTGTAAGTGTGTATGAAAAAATCGCTTTCACTGTACAAATTTTTGCATTATGTACCGATTTCATGGAACATATCCTTTTCACATAGTGACTAGTGAGGACTGTCTGCATAAATGAACTTTCATTTATAAACAAAAAAGGTTTTGAATTGTGTAAACTCTTCAGTGTGTTATGATCCTTAACTTCAAGCTTAACCGGATGATTTGATAGGTAAGAAAGTGCAGCAACAAAAATATTATCCTATATTGTCAGTTTGTTCAGTGGTGTTAATACCGTATGTTCAAACCACTGGTACAAAGAATAACTGGTCTACTGACTGTTTTAGCAACATGGATCTTACAGGTCACTCACTGATGCTCCCAAATCATAAACTCATCTTCAATTCTGATTCTGGTGAGCATGGAACTCCAACAGTCTTTTGGGATATAAGTAAACAAAATAAATAAATAGTTGAAAAATATTATTCTGTACTAAAAATAAAAGAAAACAATTTTTTTTCAAAAGGTAATATTTACAGAATGCATGATGAAAGTTATAACGAACACTATCCAATATCAACATCCTAATGAGGTGGATGTTTACCTTCAAGAAAAATCTGGAAGTCTCATATACTGTACAGTACAGTGCGGTACTACCAAAATCTTTAACATCCATTTAGCCAATAAATGTTATGAGCCCTCAGAGAATCTACACAACTGCTAAATCACTAATATTGGCACACATTCATTGCCCTTCCTAACATTAAAAATTTTGTTTATGTATATTGTGAACTGGTAGAAAGACTGAATCGCTGTATCAGTAGTCTGTTAACATATAGGTAGCTAACAGATCACCTACAAAACACCATAACCTTTAATAAGCTACATCACATGCACAGTACAGTACTTGCACTACAAGACTAAATTTGTATTTATAATATTCATGTAATGGCATTATTGAACCAGAAGTTGATGCAGTTGTGTTGACAGAACCCTGACACAGGGCATCCCTCAACTTAAGGCTACACCATTGCTTAGCCTGGCCTTCATGACATACCTATACAGTGCAACCAGTCAACACTTTCCTTTCATGACATACCTATACAGTGCAACCAGTCAACACTTTCCTAACTTTATTTCACTCAGTATCTTCAGTATTATTGACAAAGAATTTTCTCATATCAAAGCCTATAAATTACTTAGGTTACTTTACAGCATAATTCAGTTAGATTAGATTATGATAATGAAATTGAAACAGTTTATTTTGCCAGAAAAATACAGATACAGAGTCAATAATAATAATAACAATATTGGCATGGCTGAGCCAGTTGAGAGCCTGAGCTGGGGGAAGGAAATGTCAACATGGAATCCCAGGGTTTGAGCTCCAGTGATAAAGTGCTGGATACCCAGGATATCTGGCTCCAATGACAGATTGCTCAACCTAGGTTAGTACAGGTTGTACCTCTCTAGTCCGGCAACCTCGGGACCTGACCGGTGCCGGACCATGGAAATTGCTGGCCCATGGAAATTCACCCTTTGCCTGGTTAGATAGTGACTTGTGTTTATGCCTGGAAGCACTAGCACCACTTTCTCTGCGTCATGGTCTCTTTGAAGACATATTGAAGGGTTAAATGTCGTATAGTAGCTTCTCAAATTTCGCGAGTTTTTAATTCTTAACGTATTTTATTGGAACACACAAAAAAATAAATAAATAAAAATTTTGACGGCGGAAACTTGAATTTCGACGGGTTTGAACGGCCCGCCAACGTGCAGATGACGTGCATAATCGTGTAAACAGGGTCATTTCTCTTATGTACAAAAGATTCATTATTGTTTATTACTGAATGTCTTTTTTATTGAATTAATGTTTATATGTGCAAAATGAGCAATACAATTCATTAATAATACGTAGAACATTAAAACACATGAGGAAATGACACAGCATTGTTTTCGTTGATTACAAAACCAGTGACTGACTGGTTCTACATATAAAACTGAAGAAAATAAGACCTTGGTTGTAGCTGTAGTAAAATTAATATGGTTGTTTTAAGTAATGTTATTTAATGTTAATAAATGGAACAATAGAAGTAGCTAACGATAATGGTAAAGAAAAAGAGAGATCGCATATGTAAGTGCGCATGCGCACACGTGAAAACATATCGTCATTACTTTACATAAGAATATGAAAGCAACACTTATTTACTGTTCATATATATTTTAATTAATGTTTCTGAATTTGTTTTTATTGAATTAATGTACGTGTGTGCAAAATTAACAATACAATTTATTAATAATACGTGGAATATTAGAGGAGACGAGACGGCTGCCGGCATTGTTTATGTTAAAGCTTACGAAACCAGTGACTGATTGGTTCTACATATAAAACTGAAGAAAAAAGACCCTGAGTTTAGCTGTAGTAAAATTAATGTAAAGAATGAATATGGTTGCTTGAAGTACCTGTAATGTTATTTAATGTTAATAAATGGAACAATATACTGTAAGTAGCTAACCATTAATGGTAAAAAAAAAAGTGAGACTGCTCGTATGTAAGTGCGCACATGTGAAAATATATCGTCATTACTCTACATAAGAATATGAAAGCAACAATTATTTACTGCTCATGTATATTGAAGGGATAAATGTTGTACTCTGTATAGACAAGCAGAGAGAGAGAGAGAGAGAGAGCAGCTGAACTGCCGGATGTAAACAAACCTTAATTTCCTGCGGCTTTTTTTTTTAAGGGGATTAGCCCACCCAGGCATAGGTCACTGACCCACATTGGGGCCTGAGGGGCAAAAATTTAATACTCCTGTAATAATAATAATAATTCAGATAAAAAAAAAAAAAAAAGCTGCCTATCTACCTATTGGACAAACTAGAATCGTTCCGGACCACGGGAGTTTCCGGACCACAGAATGCCGGACTAGAGAGGTACAACCTGTACCTGGTATTAAGGCTCTAGCAATGGTGTTATAGATGTACAGTGAAACCTCCAACTAATGGATTCAGTGTTTCCAATCGAGGTTTCACCCCTGACAAGACAGACCTACAGGGTAACTATAACGGACTATCACCTCCCGTACAGCTTGTTAAATGTAAGTTTCACTGTATTTTGGACTCTACTGACCAAGCTCTAGCAAATGGCTTCTAACTAGTCTCTTTGATTTTGATAATCCCACACACTCTTACCTCCATCTTTCCTCTTCTGATAAATGTACTTCCTGGTCTGTCTGAAAGAAGACAAGAAAAAATCAGACCACAGTCATGAATAATTATAATATGTTCCTTATGCTCACTATGCAGGTAGCTACAAACAAGTATGCACACATGCATACACAAAGCAAGTAAGCATGCACACACATACATATGCACACATGCATGTTCATATGCATGCACACACACCTGTGCATGGACCACATGCTCTGTTGAATATATAACAAACACATACAGGTATACATTACTGTACCTGTACTGTGTACGTCAAGATTAATTAATGCCAATGATTTGAAAGAGAGTTGCTGTTTTGTAAACTAGATGATGTGACAATAAACTTCATTAATCCCAGGTCCTTGCAGGGAAAATGGTTAATGTACAACACTTATGGTTGTGTTCTGACCTCGCTGGGGGAAAGGTCACGGCAGACTTAGCTCCAGGGGATAAATTGTCGGTAATGGCTAGTGCTACTTGTGAACAGGGCTGTGCCCTTCTGAGGGCTGAGCTACTGGCCGAGTTAGTGATAGCAAGGAAGAAGACACGAAACAAGAAAAGCCCTGGTCTGACGAAAACTCAGGCAAATGGAAGGTTGTGGAGAGGAACGACCAAAATGGTAGTGAGAAAAGAAGCCAAGGAAACTACAACAGCTAAGTGTAAAAACTCTTTTTGTCCTTTGATAGATGAATTGGACGTTAGCATAGTCAGGGACAGGGCTGACAAGGAAGGTACGAAAACCTTAATTGTTGGCGATTCCCTGGTACGGTACCTGGATAGAGCTTTCTATGGTAAAAATAAAAATAGGATGAGGGTGTGTTTGCCAGGAGCTGGGGTGGGGGATATAGTTGACAGGATGGACAATATCTTGTCTGGTAATGGGAACAAACCCATTATCTGCCTCAGTGCAGGAGGCAAGGATATTGGCTGGTGTAGGAGCGAGGAGCTCCTTCATAAGTTCAAGACAGCTATTGAATGTATTAGGTTGAAGGGAGGGATCCCTATCATATGTGGTGTCCTGCCTAGAAGGAGAGTTGGCAATGAATGGTTGTCAAGGGTAGTTGGTGTCAACAGCCGTCTTGACAGATATTGCAAGTCAATATCAGTCCCATTCATTGACAACTGGAACAACTTTTATGGCAGAAGGGACCTTTATGCTAGGGATCGGGTGCATATGTCTAGGGATGGGGTGCATCTGTCTAGGGATGAGGTGGCAACCCTGGCTGGCTCTCTCGAGAGGGTAGTTCAAAAGATGTCGAAGTCTTTAAACTGCTAGGAGAACATATGGACACGGAGGTGGAAGACTGCAGTTGGAGCAGGTAAACAAAGTGAAAGGTTGCAGGGAAAGTGCTAGGAATGAGGAAAACACTAAATTAGGCAAGGAGTTAAAACCTAAACGCATCAAAGACAGGACTCAGAACACGGCTAACTTAAATGTCTACTACGCAAACAGTAGGAGTATGTTAAACAAAATGGATGAAATTAGGGCATTGGTATGTACCGAAAAAATCGATATACAGTCGGCCCTTAACATACACGGGTTTAGCATACACGGATTTGCAAATACGCGGATTGCCCCGCCGGAGGAATATTCTGTACATTGAAGTAATTGAAGTACATTCAACTCGCGCGCCATTCAACTCGCGCGCGGCACCGAACACGGGACACCGCCCGCTCCCGCAACCTCACACACACACACACGCATAGCACGTCGTCACCCCACCCCGCCACTCCGCGCTCCATCACTCAGTCAGTCTCGCTGTAACCACGCTTGTGTTAACATCAGAATTGTAGTTGCTACCCTTGCTACCCACATTTACCATGGTCCCTAAAAGAGCATCAAAGACACCAGCTGGAGTCACCCCTAAGCGCCAGAAGAAAGTGATGACTCTGCAGGAGAAGGTGGAGTTGTTGAATAAGTTTAGGGAGGGAATGTCGTTCGCTGCTGTGGGGGCGAATGTACAACGTGAATGAAAGCAAGGTACGTACCATCAAGAAAAGGGAAAAAGATATCCGTGATGCTGTAAGTGCCAATACTCCACGCAGTGCTAAGCATGTCAGCCAAGTGAGGGGGAAGGCAATGGTGAAGATGGAGAATGCCTTGTTTCTGTGGATAGAGGACCAGCACCGGAAAGGTGTACCAGTGGACTCTATCCTTATCCAGGAGAAAGCTAAATCTCTACACACACGCTATGTTTATTGTTTGTAAAAATGCACAGCACAGTACAGTTCAGTACTGTACATAGGAAGTGGAGGTGCAGTTATTCACAAAACATTTATGTTTGTTGTCGGCAGTAGTGACGATGTGGAGGCGGAGGGATAGAGCGGGTAGGAGTGGTGACGCTGGAGGCGGGAGCAGGGACGGGGACGAGTGGAGATGCCAGCCAGTACATTACGGGTGTACAGTATTAATTGTTTTTATAGCTCTTTTTGCATTTTATATAATTAATACTGTACATTACGTTTCAACAAAACTACTATTTATTTCTGAGAATATGGAAATGTTATATTTTTGCTGAAATGACGTACATATTACAGTGGAAAGTGGGATAAAATTGTGACGAAAGCAATGACTTTCGCTTTCTTTCGTTCAAAAGATGTTACCGTAATCGCTTTTCGAATGGTTTTCAGTTGTGGGATTAAGAGGCTAATGATAGGATAGAATATTATTGTAATACAGTACAGTACAACAGTTTTTTAACTGAAAACCATTCAAAAAGCGATTGCGGAAAAATCTTTTGAACAACGAAAGAAAGCGAAAGTCATTGTTTTCGTCATGATTTTATCCCACTTTCCACTGTAATATGTACTTCATTTCAGCCAAAATATTACATTTCCATATTAATTTCTGAGAATATATTCATTCAGTCACAATTAAGGTAAAATATACTTGTGATGTAATATTTTAATGAAAATACAGTACTTGTATTGTAGTTTTCTTTTGTTTCAAATTTAATTAACAAAGATTGATGTTTCAAATGTAATGAACAAAAATTTATGTACAGTATCTATAAATAAACTTAAAAAATGAATACTTTATGTTTTACATGGTCCTGTGCTACCATACCATGGATTTGGCTACTTTGGGCTTGCTATGATGACGCAAGAGATCTGCCCTGGCAACTGTACCGACACTCACAGCTGGTGGTGCATTGGTGCATCGTTTCCATTGTTTACTGGTAAATATTTTTCAACTTAACGAAACTATTACCCGTTTAGAGGCCTTAAAAACTCGAACTACACACAGGTATATATGGTAAATAAGGACATGGGGGGCCAGGGGTTTTTTAGGGGGTTGCAGCAAAAGTACACGGATTTTTAACATTCACGGGTATGTTACCTAAACCCCGCGTATGTTAAGGGCCGACTGTACAGTGATTCCTCGGTTAACGAATGCCTCAGTTAACAAAATTTCGGTTAACAAATTACCTTCCATAAGAATATTCAATTCAGTTAATGAAATCCTTACGAAATCGTGTCAACATGTTTTCGCCTGCTCACCAACTGTAGTATTAGTCCACCAATACAGTAATTGGTTTTAGGGCTTAAATTCATTACCATTTGAGTAAATATCAAGAAGGTTGTACTATTCAATAATTTTCCAAGTCTTTATTAATTTTTTTAGTAATTTTAACACTTATTTAACATAATTGAAGTACAGGGAACTAGTTTTTAGCGCGCCAAACAGCCACTTGACTCACCCAGAATGGCATCAGTTTGTGTCTCTGCTCAGTGGAGGAAGCATCTTGCTTGAGACTCTTGAACATCAACTAATTTTACATTTTTACAGTACAATTATTGGTCATTCTGAAATTTATTTTACATATTGACAATATATAGTGCAGTGTTGATTTAAAGAAAATAGGTAGTAGGTAGCTACCAAACATGGAGGTACTACCGCCTGGGAAGATATTGGAAGCATAATGTGTTGTCTAATGGTAGACACTGCTGCTATATGGCATTGCAAAAATTGTGACCAAGTCCCAGGTTGCTGATCTGACTTTCTGCCTCATTTACATACAATTGCGGGGTCTCAATTGTTTCTCTTGCTATTGACAACACAACATACATATATCGTTTCTCACTAATGATCTTTTTTTTAATTTCTTTATGGTTCCTTATTATTATTATTATTATTATTATTATTATAATTATTATTATTGCAGTGTTTTCATTATTATTATTGTTATTTTATTTTTGTATTTTTTATTATAAATTTTACTTATCTGAATTATTATTATTACGTTTTCGGCCCCCAGGCCCTGATGTGGGTCGGTGACCTGTGTCCGAGTGGGCTAATACCAGTAAAAAAAAAAAAAAATTACACCAAGTGAACTCAAAATTTTATGGGGTGATTTCTCTTCCACCCTACTGCCTTCTCTTCTCCCTTCTCCTCCACCCCCACTTCTAATTCCCATCATCATCATCATCATCAACCAGGAGCCTTCTACATGCACACCTCAAAGTAAGTGTACTTTACTGCATTTATTCTTAATTTGTATGTAATTTTCAGTGAGCTGGAACCAATTACCCCAATTCCCATTGAAACAATGGTTTCGGTTAACGAAATTTTCAGTTAATGAACGACCTTCTGGAACGAATTGTGTTCGTTAACCGAGGGACCACTGTAATAGCATTCACCAAAACATGGATAAACTTACTCACGAAAGTTACCTGACGAATACCAAATTGCAGATTACAAATTATTCCATACCGCTAGGCAGATTAGTAAAGGAGACGAAGTAGCAATATATGTCAGGGTTAATTGAAGTGTGAAATAAAAAAGGAAATAAAAACTGAACTGAACACAAACAATTTGGATAGAATGAATCGATGGTAGGGAAAAATTAATCAGAGGAGTAATATATACCCGGTAGACCTCCTAATCTTGATAGAGCTAATGAGCGACTTACTTGGGATGAAATGTGTAGGGCTTCCTGGCATGGCAATGTCTGTATAGTAGGCGACTTTAACCAAATAGATTGGATCGACCTTACAGGTAACTCAGAATCAGATGATTTTC